CTAGCCCTGTTTCCTTCACTCTCAGCACTTTGTAAGGACATCTTCATGTGTGTATTCCACATTATGTCTGTTGCAAAGTTTGGTAAACACTTAAAATACGACGTTGCTTTCTTTCAAACCCACAATGAGGGCTCACTTTACCCAAGGCCAGAGTGCTTGGCTCATCCTTGTGCCAACTCAACTCAGACACACCACGCAATGCAGCTGACTCCCAAGATGGGCCTTCCACCCCTAAATTTTCCACTTAAGCAAATTAATGATCAGTAAAGATGGGATACACCCAGAAGACAGAAAACCACTTATTCAGCAAGTCAAAAATGGATACGCTGGCACTGAAACTTATAGTTGGAAGTGAAATGCATCCTACAAAGGATACCAGATTTCAGCTCCCTGCCAACAGGAAATATTTCAGGGATGTCCCTAAGATGATTTCTACTGAGGACAAATAGTACCTTCTTCTTAAAAGCAAAGAGTCTGGCTTGATAGGGAATAGACAGTTCTTTTATGCCTCTAATGGATTTATTCCCTTATGCTCAGTATTTCTCAGAAAGGATGCCACTTCCTCAGAGAATTCTGCTGCTCTACATTTTAAGAACTCAAATGTTCCAGTGAAGCTCAGCTGAAATTTTAGAAGCTGATAGAGAAAATCGAAAGAGAAGAATAAGAAAAGTTATCTGGTGGTTTAGAATGCTACAATCCTTCCAACTAAAAGACAGCAGCAACCAGAAATGCAAAAGCACCCTGATGGAGCTAACTGTAATTACACATACTTTCTGGAAGTGGGTGTGTTTATGCTTTGCATGCCTGTCTTTTCACATGCAAAAGACAACACCTGACATGTATGTAACTTAAAGAGTTTGCCCTGTAGTCTTAACTATCCTCCCATAAACTTAACCAACAAAAATAGCAATTAACACAGGTGTTTCATAATCTTCCCAAAATATTTTCTTAGTAAGAAGGTAACTAAGGATTGTTTTACCATTCAATAGAAAAAGACGGCTGTTTAATGTGGGTGTGTGCCAATATATGAAAACTATTTTAAATGAATATTTTTGCAGTGGTCTGGAGGATCATGAGCCTAAATGTTGAACACTCCCTCAATTCAAATTGTCTCTGCCCTGAATCACTGTGCAGCCCTGCACAGAATAAATAGATGGAGGAAAGAAAGTCAAGACGAAAATTATTTAAGCACATAAACACTTACAATTCTGTAATATTCAAGAAGCTCTAATGTCCCAAATAAAATTTAGGACAGAGATAGACTTAGATGCACCCTTATTAAGAGGCTGCCTCTGAAGACAGCACAAAAGGCACCAGCAGAGACAGTGCAGGGGTGTGCAAAGCCAGCAGTGGCACACTGAGTGTGCCCAGGACAAGCTCCTCTCCAGAGGGCATATTCTGCAATTCTCAGGAAAAATTTCCTCCCATGGCAGCCAGGCCTTCTCCAATCTTTTTTTACTCCAAAGAATTTAAGCAAAACCTAAGAATTTCTACTTTATATAAAACTGAGAGAAAACCTGGTTCACCAATAAAATCATGAAGGTGTTGTAGGAAAAACAATTTTTATGTGTTTGAGGTAACACAACATGCATAAAGAAAGTGTAGCTACTTAGCTTAAGCTGAGAAGAGTTTTACTGCAGTCCACACCTGGACAGTTGATAATGCATGCAAATATAAGCTTTTAACATATGCCATGAAGAATTAAGTAACAGCACAACCTTGAAACTAAAATTAAGATTAATGCATGTAGAGACTTTTTTCGGGGAGCGGGGGGGGAAGAAAAGCAGAAGAAAGGTGTTAAAATATATATAAGATAAAAGACAAATTGCAGAACACTTGACACAAGACAATATTTAACCTTGGTCTAAAAGCAAGCATCACTTCATTGGTACAAATTCTAGCTGAAGATATCAGGGTTAGGTACAAGCTCCCCAACCAAGTTGTGCATTTGTGAGAGATACAAATATGCACTTTATTTCTCATTTTGAACAGCTGTACATATTTTTAACATAGATGAAGTTTCCTTTCTAAAGCTAGCCTTGAGCTGTCAACATGACTTGATAGTGCCAGTGCTAGTGAATTCCTATCAATGGCAAAAGCTAAGATAGTAAAGAAAAGGCTATTTTGTTTACATTGTGAGCCATCATTTAGCTACCAGGTAAAATGCCACAAGATTTGTTCATAGAAATTAGTTAGTCAGAAATGAAAAATTATTGAAGATTTCTGTTCTGATTGATGTTATCTCAAAAATATTGGATCACATATTTGTTGAAACTGAGAAAACATTAGGAATACCCTAAAAATGGTAGTACTGATGTTATTTTTAGCTAGCAACTTTTCTTTTTCTTAATTTCACTAGGTATCAGGGGATAGCTTCAAAAACACCATGTAATTTATCTGCACAGTTTTATTAATACCTAGATTTCGATATCCTCACTATAAATTCATCCTACAATCCCACAATGCTAGTGCAGAAAGAGCATTCAAATTTGGAACTGAAAACCTGAAATCAAGTAATTTAAGTAATCCTGAGGCTGTTTGTACTTGACATTTCAGAATCTTGGCCAATGTACTTTAGGAAAGGAAAGTGTCTTGCACTTTCAGAGCGGTTGGCACACAAACAGCCACTGCAATCAGCATCACTCCCAAACAAAACTAATTGACAACTGAAAAGAGATTGATGCTAGAAAGGCACAAGAGGAGTGACATACTTCAAAGAAAAACAGAAATCTCATTTTTATGAAGTACAAAAACATCCACAGAAAACCAGAAAATTATCATTGGAGTATACCACTGTGAATGGTTAATGTGAAAATCTATCCTGAAAGAACTGGGGCACTAAAAGGAAACAAAACAAAGCAATCTGCTATCTTACTGTGTGAACAGGACCTTGACCAAAACATGCCTAAAGCACAGTTTCTAGTTCAGTAGCAACAAGGCAGATCAAATCCTGATGCACACTGGCTATTCATCTGAAAAACCACTACTGCAGCTGCTACATTAATCCAGCTTTTAGCACTATTTCCTCCTTCTTCTTCTACATCCTTTGCTGTGTGCAAGGCACTCCCAAAAAAGGATGTGGCCACCATGGTTAAGCCTTCAGGAAAAGAGCATTAGGGGCATTCAGATGATGTGTTTTCTTTTCCTTTCTTTTGCTTTACCAGTTGAAAACATCTTAATAAAACTAACAGTGAAACAGGTCTCATTTCAAAGGCTGATCATTTAACATATACTCAAGTGCTCTTTGCATTTTTAATCTTGCCAAACATGCCTTTATAAACAGGCATTGCATTACAGCAGTACTAATGATAAAATGCCAAAGTGGCATTTAGAACTTTATGAATGTGAAGCTCACTGGCAACACCACAAATCAAACAAAGGACCAAGAATTCATAGAGGCCCCCCCCTCTTTTTTTTTGTTATAAATTCATATTAATAAATATGCAAGCATAATAATTAGCACATTGTTTTCAACTGCAATGCTACTATTTTCATCCCAAGTTTTACACCAGCACCTATTTCAACATTTCCCCTACTGTTTGAAGATGGAAACATCACATCTGTTGCACATTACAAACTAACAGTACTCAATTACAAAGATTTTGATCTGTTTGGAGGAAAAGGTAGGAGGAGTCTGCTCTTCTGCAGAGTTACTACTCCATATGCAGACTTATAGGGTAAAAGACCTTGCAAGACTAAATAGTGTCTCACCAATTCACCCATAAACACATTTTAAGAATCAGTCTGAAATTAAATTGAATGCAAAAACCTTTTGTATCAGGTCCTAGGCAAAAAAACAAAACAAAACAAAGGCAGAAAACACACAGTTCAAATCTTCACTACTCAGGGAAAGTACTCCAGGTTTTCCATGAGACATTATCACACAAAGCTGTCTTCAGCAGGCAGACACAGTTCTTCAGCAAAACTAGCAGACTTCAAACTATTCCAGAAGAGTGATCTGCAGTTTAGCTCCACCCCACCTACAGCCCTCTCATGAGAGGCCAGAATTCCAAAGGAAATAAAACACAGCCCAGTAACACACCAAAACCAACCACAACACACGTTTCGGACAAAAAGAACACCCTAAAACCACCCCCACTTTCCCCCCCACACCTTTTTTGCAGTGAAGCAGCCAAGTGGGAACAGTAAAAGAAGGCATGGTTAGTACAGACTCTAATTAAGGGCCATAGATGGATGTATCAAACGAGCTCATTCTGCCAACTTAATGATTCAGCTTAAAGAACTGGGAGTTTTCCTCCTGACTTCTGTCAGAGTCAAGTACATCTGTTGAGTGCATTTGAAGATTCTGCCTCTTGTAAGATAACCTTTTCCTCTGCACACAAGAATTACCACTGAGTTCAGCAGACAATGATCACAGAAAAAATAATGCTAGTTTTGTGGAAGAATCAAACATGGTCTCCAAAAAAGCTAGACACAAATGACTTAATATTTTCTTGTGAACCAAGTATATATATATATATACATACACACAACAAGGGAAAGGTAAGTACCACAATTTTTAAGTACTTCCATTCATTTAGCTGTCCTCACTTGATTTTAAAGACAACACCCTTAAGTCCAAAAGAAAATGCTGAAAAAAATTTCAAAAAGCAGACAGTGGTGTGTTTTCAGCTTCAGTATAAATCAAATAGATTAATGAAGAAACAGAATTTAAGCTTTCAATAAACCTGCTCTAAGTTGATCACATTTCACAAACAGGTTTCCAGTTTTGCTTTTATAAATTATGGATCATTAACTCTCAAGGACTCCAGTGTGCAAGGGTCATGAGATGCATGTGGAGGCTCATTCAGGTCTCTGACCAGATGTACAAGTTTATTAACAGCTCCAATAACCACAACACACAGAGAGATTGGTTCTATTGTGCTCACTAACACAGCAAGCACTTGTTACCCACTTAAAATCTTCTAACAGGAACTAGTTTCACTCCATCAAGTAGCTCTCCATAACTCCAACAGGAATTTGGAGCTCTACTTACTTACCTGTGAACATAATGCAACTGATGAACTGAATCGATGGCTATCACCATTTCAGCCAAATAAAAACGAGCCATATCTTCAGGGAGTCTGTCCTCAAACTTGCTGAGCAATGTAAGCAGGTCTCCTCCAACATAGTAATCCATAACCAGGTACTATGGAGTGGGAACAGTAAGAGAACAGAGTGAGGGGAAAAAAAAAATCACAATTTATTGAGTGAATAAAAGACTAAATATTCATTGAAGCATAAAAACTAATTCACTGCAAAAATTATTATGGACATAAAAAAAAACTAACCAAGATGCTCAGTGCTCTGAAAACAGCAGTCAGTTCAGCTGCAGTTTAGCATTTAGCCTACTTGAATAATTTTCATATTTATACTTCCCCAAATATAGTAAGCCTCATGACAAAATAGTATTAAACAAAAAAAATATTAAACAAATTAAACAGTATTAAACAAAATGGTATTAACTTCATCCACAGTCCCATCACCATACATGAAATATTTAGATCCTCTGGATTCCCTTATGAAAACAATGCCCTTTGTCAGAAAGCTAAAGGAGTAAAGGTTTTAAGTACAGATCTATAAAAATGAAACAAGTGTGTAAATTTGTAATCTCATTTATGTTGCCCTAATTTTCAAGGCTTTCCCTTCCCTTTCTTCCTACCACCTTCTTTTCCCATTAAACAAATTACTTTGGAGAGCAAAGTTTTTAGATTATTTAGAGGGGTATTTCTAATCTAAAGACTATTTAGATTAAGGCAAAGTCTGAGAGACTTCCAGTGACCCACAGCATAATTCCAGTAACTGTTGACATTACACATGATTCAGGACCTGGCAACATAAAATACAACATGTCACCTTCTCTAATTGAAAGGATGGAGAAAAATATTGATTTCTCATATATTAATGAAATATAAAACTTGCCAGCCATAAAAGTGGATGCAAAGACTTTAAAGAAATCAGAGTCTTTCTGCATTTTACTGTATTTACAGAATGAAATGCCACTTCTTTTAGCAACATAATTAAAATTACTGGAAAAAGTGAAACTTAAGCATGAAATTCAGGATTAATATATTTTAGCCTAGTTTAGTTTGTTTTTAATTATGAAACAGTGCCTGAAAGGCTAAATGGGGGAAAGAAAGAAAAATCAAATTAATTATAGCTAAAGAACTAATTATTAACATTCTAATTTAACACACACTGCTAAAACATTACTTTCAAACATCACTGTGGACACTGTGGATGTGTTAGAATCACAGAATATCCTGAGCTGGAAGGGACCCACAAGGATTACCAAAGTTCAGCTCTTGGCCCTTCACAGGACAGCTCCAAGAATCAAATCACACCCCTGAGAATGAATTTCCACTAGACTCCCTCAAAGTCTTTGCTTAGAGCTCCAGTCTGTTTCCAGGAAGGCAGCCTAACTGCATTTGAAGCAGTGACTCTTAAGAAGACCATAAATTATAAAAAAAAACTGAAAAGGTAATAATAAATACCCCAATTTGTTTCTTTAAAATTCTGAAAACACAGCCTAAAGGGACTATTTATATTAGTTGCCTTTACATGTTTGCCTTTCCCATTTTCAGAAAAAGACACTAAAATATGAATTAAAAAAATCTGCAAAATTATGCCAACTCTAGGGAAGTTGAGGGGCAGGCAGAAATCTTACGCCTGTTTCTTTTCCCTCATATTTTCCATAACAATAAAGGTGATGAACAAAGATTTTAACAGCTTGATACACAATAACGTGGGCATCCTCATTGATTCCAAGTGCATTAGAAAGTACAAAAGGCATTTCCACAAGATTTTAAATCTGTTGATAGTCAAATTTTCATCTGTTGCTTTGTGACAGGAAAAATGAAGTTCTTAAATTATGCTCGAATCCTTATGGAAGATAAATACCTTCTATTCAGGGTGCTCCTGCACTCCTTCAGGAATAAGACTGATAGTATAAATTTCTTGGTTTTTACAGTTTTAGAAAATGCATTAAGCCTTTGGAAATTCAGATACTGATTACTAAGTGATGCATTGCACAGACATCTCCAAGAGCTGAATTTATTGCTTTGAATGTATATTGAAAAAAAACTCTTCAGATTCTCCTAACTGATGTGGGATCTCTGCACTCATTCTTCAGCACTTTGAAAACCTCTACAACTCAGCTACTGGATATGGGAAAATAATGAATTTTGGCTCTTAAAACACAGGATTCTGCACCTCCTCCTAAATTTGCAAGAGCAACATAGTAGCCTAACAACACAGAAACTTTCAACTCCTTGAATAAGCCAACACCTAAACTGTAACTCAGTGTATTAGGCTGTGCAAATGAAGCTAAACACATATGTAGGAATTACAGTTAAATCTAAAAATGAAATTTTACATTAAAAAAATTCTGTCAAATATCCAATGTCAAATATCCAGGTTCTTATAAAAAATAGGGGTTTTTTAAAGCCTTAAAAATACTTTCTAAATAATAATAAAAAATACTTTCTAAATGTACACTTTATAAATCATCCAGATGTATCCAAGTCTCAAATACTTCTGAAAATACTACTGTATGACAGCACCATCTTTCCAAGAGAAAGAAAAAGCATAGATTTAAGAACTCTAAATTCTAGTAGCTGGTGGAAACTTAACACAGGAATTTAATCCCAAATCACAGATTCATTTGGAATGGAAGGGACCTCTTCAGACCTCATCTGCTCAAGTAGGGTCAGCTAGAAAAGGCTGATGATGACTGTCTCCAGCTGGGGTTTGAGTATCTTCCAAAAAAGAAGGGTTTTCTTGTGTTCTGATGAAACTCCATGGATTTCAGGTTGTACCCATTGGCTCCTGTCCTCCCAACAGGCACCACTGGGAGGAATCCAGCTCCCTTGTCTCAAGTCCCTCCATGGGGTGTTTACACACACTGATGATAACCCCCCTCTCCATCCTGCATTTATTTGGGCTGAAGAATCCCAGCTCTCCTCACAGGAAGGATGCCCCAGTGTCTCAATCATCTTTCTGGCCTCCCAACAGACTTGCTCCAGTAGCTCCATCTCTCTTTTGCCCTGGGGAGGCCAGACCTGGACACAGCACTTCAGGTGCAGAGCTGAGAGGAGGGGAAGGACCTCCCCTGACCTGCAACACTTTTCCTTGAGCCCAGAACACTCCTGGCCTATTTTACTGTAAGAGTGCATTGCTGCCTCATGGCTAAGCTTGTTATCCACCAGGACCTCAAGTAAAGCTGCTTTCCAATCACCTGGGCCCCTGCATGTACTTGGTTTCTCTTATTACACAGCCTAGATGCAGGGCATTGCCTTTCCCTTTGCTGAAATTCGTGAGATTTCTCTCTCTCCAGTTTGTTGAGGTCCATCTCAGGGCAAGCAACAGTCACTGCACAACCACATCTACTGCTCAATCTACACAGATTTTTTTTTTTAAAGGCCACTTGTGTTACACACAATTTCAATAAAAAGCATATGGAGAACTAGTGATGATCCAAACTCTCAGTATCTCTTATATTTTGCCCAGCAGGCTGCAGAACTAGCTCCTGTCAGCAGACTATCAAAGATGAAGAACAGAACCTGCTCTGTGCTTAGTGAAAACAAGGAAACTGGCAGGAATAAAACAAATTCTAGCAGGCTATTTTGGAATATATAATATTTTCCTTGAAATGCTCTTAATGATAAGATCAGAATTACACAATACATGAGATTATTTTTACTGTCCACATTAACAAAGCTGGCTGGGAGGTATTTACACCAACAGTTGGACTTACAAATGCAGAGCCCCATTTCTATAAAAATCTACCAAAATCCATGGATCCCCAGGCATCTGAATTGACAGAAAAAAGTGCAATATAATGGCAAAAACCAATACAGGTCTGTAAGAGTTCCCTGTACAGCACTTTTTGAATTGGACACACTGGGAGGAAAAAACTACTGTGGCTGTACAGTAGATAATAATAAAAAAAATTATTAGAATTGTTAATGATAGAGAATCCAAAGCACAGGGCAATAAAGCCCAAATAATCAAAAGCCATCAATGCAAAGTTGTTTACTTTTTCAGGTATAAATTCTACCAAAACTGTATCACAATCAAAACATTTTTTAAGTGGGAAAGATTTTATAGAAAATTGGCCACTTTTCCACATTAGTTTCTTTTTGCGAGTCATTCAAAATACTCAAAAATTAAATAACAAAAAAGAGACATTTTAATCTACAACTACAGCTTCCAACTCTTATTTATGAGCATTTAGAGGAATTTTTCCTGCTTTATTGTTTTGTGACAGCTTACTGAGTTTAAGTCCTCAAAATAGTAAGTTGTTTCAAAAGAGGTCTACTCCCAATTTCTCTCTGTAAAACTGTAATCAGCATGGTTAATCATGAAAAATTAAAATAGAAAATCTATATTAGTAAGAGCACTTTCAATTTTACAAATCCAATTAAACTGGAATGACAAATTATAAGAAAGAATATGCAGATAAGACCAAAGTTTATCAACAAATGCAAAGTGGTTTAGAAAACAAACCTTTCTTCCTGAGGTATTTATAGCAAAACTTTCAAAGTTTCTGACCAATCTCCACCCTTCAGAATTGTATGGAAAAATCACAGATCCTCACATGGTCTGTATGGTCCAGAACACAAAATTAACAAATAAACTACTTTTCTGTCTCAAACCACAACCAAGACTCTGCATTTCCACACATATATATATATATATATAAATATATAAAAGCAACACTCACTAAATAGTTTTCATCCTGGAATGCATAATGTAATGTTGTGATCCACTGGTTATCTCCATTCACTAACACATCTCTCTCTTCTCGAAAACAGGCTGTCTGAAGGGGAGAAAAATAATTATAGACTTTAGGTAAAATATATAAAGAAAAACATTTAGCAAGTTGACTGTGTTTTGACATTATATTTGGGGGGAAAAAAATCAAAACTGCCTCTCAGTTAAAAAGTTATTTATTACACTATCCAAATATGACAAAATCTAAAAAGAAATAGATATGAGAAGTGACCATCTTCTTCAAATTTCAGCAGTTGTACTTTCTCTGTACTGTTAAGTGAGGCAAAGGGATAAATAAGATGTTGCTTCCCATCATCTAAAATGTCAAAATCCTGATGTATCAATAATGACAGGATGTATGATGAAGACAAACAATCAATAATGGCATTAGATAATTGTAACTGCTCTAGGAGTCAGAGAGCTGGAATCTGGAGTCTTGTGTGGCTGTTTTATCTCATCATGGTGTTAGCCTAGTTTTACACGTGAGTTCTCACACACAGTTCTTTTCATTTGAAAGTAGCTGCCAATAACTCCATGTAGTCATCACTTGATAATCATTAACCACTTTCTCCACACCCCTTGCTCTGGAAAAGCAGGGAGAAGCAAATATTGCTCTTGTCAGGTATAAGGTGTTGGTCAGATATCCCAAGAGGTTTCCCCTCAATACACTGGAAAGAAAAACAGGAGGCGAGAGGTGCCTTCATATCAAGTGGAACAGAGGAGGGACAAGAACTGCCCGCAAATGTTTTAATTGTGGAACACAGGTTTGTGCGAAACAAAAGAAGGGAAAATGTGAAGAAAATAACTAAGTGCAAAGCAGCAAGGCATTTAAACCAATGAAGATCCTGCAACTTGCCCTGAGTAGTGAAGAAAATACCTCAGCAGAAACAACTTTGCAGAATAACAGACAAAAACGACCAAATAGATGAAAAGCCAAAAAGAAACTATAGCAAAGAAACCCCATAAACATTTTGAAGAGAGTGAATTCTGAAGTGACTATCACAAGAAAACAAAAAGCACCAAATAACAAAGCCAACACACAATTTTGTTCAGAAAAAAAGAGATCTAAACAATAGTGCAAAGGAAAGAATAATATTGTACAGGCTCTGTTTAGAAGGCAGATGGAGAGTTTGAGAAAAACACAGACCATATTTTATTCCAGCACACTCTGCTCTTCACAAAGATGTTTGATAATTTTGAACCCTGCTCTGTCTCTTCCATCTCCGAGACAGTGAAGTTAAAAGGAAATTCAAGCCTTTGCTTTTTATTTTTTCAGTTTGATTTCCAAATCCAATAGGAAATGAGCAGACTTCTGGCATGGCTTTTGCTGGTTGTGAGATTTGGAAAGTGAAGAATGAAAAGTGAAACATCATTTGAGATTGAGATATGCACAAGAATACATGCAGCAAAAACAGAGCAGCAAGTAACTCCTTCCTCCAAGCAAATAAACCATCACAAGTCCTTTTTTTGGTGAATACAGTGAGCAAGAACTATGCAGACCAGGAAAAATTAAGATGACATACTTGAATCATTGCACAATGCAGGAGATAAATCAGTGAAATTTGAGAAAATAGCAAGATATACTTCAAACAAATACCTTCAAAGATTATTGAATGAAAAATAGACTTGGGGTAGGAGAATGAGCATGGATCATCTTCAGAAGCAAGAAAAGCTGTTTGACGCTTCAGCTTGATTTTTCTCCTTCCTTATTTGTAAACTCTTGACATATTTCAGAGAGAAATAACTACAAACTCTTGTTTTCACAAAGATAAATAACAGGTAGTTTCTCTGCTTGTTATGACACAACTAATAGAATTGGTTACTAAGAGTTTATGTAATTCCACTTGTTTTTGCCATGATTTGACAAAAGACTGTGCATTCTTTGAGCACTCCAGACACCCACCTCTGGGCAGCATGCCTAGAGCTGAAGCAACAGCTACTACCACAGTAGATCACAGCTGAGAGTTGAAGAGGCAAAACAAAACATCCAGCAACAACAAAAAGAGACAGTAGCAGTGGTTCTTTTAATTACTGTAACATGGCTCAGTCGGGCTTTTTTAAAATTAAGCCTTTTTTGTGCCTTCCATTATTCCAGCATTACATTTCATCTTCCCTAGGCATTCTCCTTGAACTGTTGGCAGAGCCCTCCAGAGGTCATCTGATCCAGCTCTGCCACAGCAAAGCCAACTCAGTGCCGTACTCGTATCTCTCCTGTTATCGTGGCCTTCAAGCAGCAAAGAATGTGACCTGCTCTGCTGTTGGGTGCTCATGTCCTCACAGCTCAGACTCAGCACCTCCTGGGGATGCTGACTGCTTCCATGGTGCCTGGTATTTGTCCTGGTCTCTCCTGAGCCTCATCTGGCACCGGCACGGCACACGTGTAACTCTAAGTGACTGTCAACGCTCAGGGTAACGGGGCTGGGGGTGTCACAGCAAGATGTCACACACTTCCAGGTACTCCTTGTATCAGTAACATTCCCAGCTCTACATCCCATCTCAACAGTGGCAAGTATTTGGAAAATTTATCCTCTGTTATTATACAAAAAAAAGAACACTGACTTTGCAACCTGTGTAATTTTACAGTAACAAAGTTTTTGCACTCAGAGCTTGCAGTCCTCAACCTTACTCTGGCATTCTCAACCCTCTTTTGAGTACATACTCTCCTTCTGCTTTTACAAATTACTCCCACTTCCCACACTCTTGACACATATGTTCATTAACACATAGAATATGAATATATATATATATGAACATATAGATCTATCTATATACTTGTGGTTTTGGACTGCATGGTTTTCCTGTGCATCTCATGTTAGTGCAGCACACTGCTAACAGAGCAAAAATGGGTCATTTTCCCCATCAGTAGTAAGAAGAGCATTCATGAATGTTTAAAAATGACAGGTTACAGTTGCTAAAGGTCATGCTTTATAATGCATTTTCACTCCAGATGGTTCTCTTTCCACTATATACCCATGAGTTACAAATACATGGAAAAACATTGCTGTAATTCTTTTTAGGCTAACGGTTCAGACTTTCAGAAATTCAGCTGGACCCATGGGAAGAGTATTTTTAATACCTTGCATAGAGAAAAATTTTTGAAACCTATTTATAAATGTATGCTAATGAAAAGAAACAGTTTTCAAACTCACTTTAAAAGGGTACATTTAAAAATAGAGTGGAGCTTTATTCCTGGTCTCTTCTTTTTCAGTGAAATAATAAAACTTACAGTAATGACATTTGTCTTGGAGAGAAATACCTCTTTGTATCAAGACTACTGCCAGATTGCTCAGTATCTGAATAATTTCTGGATAAAAAGGAAACACATTGTGCACATCTAACCACAATCTGCAAGCCATTTATACTTCTTAATGTGATAACATTTTCATTAAAAGAAACAGGATGTGCACACATCAGAAATTGGCTTTAATTTGTCTGAATATATTTTTTTAAGAGTGTGATGGTTTCCCATTGATCTCACTTCCTACCAAGATGTAATTAAAACATAAATGAGGAAATCAGAATAAACTTGGAAGCAGTTGAACAGCAAGGCAGTCTGAGAGCAGCAAAGTTGAGGTCTCAAATAAAAACTATATATTTATGAGTGTATTTTTAGTATGCATAGATGAAGAATTTCAAAGCAAATTAGAGAGTTAGATACATGTTCCATCTAAAATTAACACACAAGTATTCAGGTGCAGGCTGCATTTCATAAGCTTCCTTTCAAAGGAATCCAGGGGAAATATACCAAGGATTTGTGAAGAGCAGAGTTGTACAAAGAAAGTAGACAGCTAAGGCAAAAGTAAGGCTGGTGAAGGAGCTGCTCCACCTTTTTCAGACACAAAATGGACTCCAGCTATAATGAGGAACTTTTTATCACATATTTTTGCAGATGAACATTTTTAGAAAACAGGCACTCTAATTAATTTGAAACTTTTATCTTTCTGATTTTTCAATCCGCTCGTTGGGCCTTTACTAAGTTCTAACTACTGAGAAACTAATTGACTTGATGAGCTATAGCTCAGCAATTACCTTCTTATAGCTCAGTAATTACCTTCCACCATGGAAAATACCAGCTAAAGACTACATTCCCAACTGGAACAAATGCATTAAAAGATCACTTGTGCAGTTGGTAATTTTTGGACAATTACAGAAAAGGCCTAATGTCAAAAACATTCAGCCCCACAGAAGTCAAGATTCCAGGACATTTAAACCCTTCTGATGAATTGCTTTAGGCTTATTTAATTTTTTTTTTATACTGCCAGTAAATAGTGAAGCACTTCCTCCATCACTCTAATAAACATGGAGACTTGTGGACAGAGAAATGAGAATTCAGCAAAGTAAGAGGGGACACAATCAAGCAAAACATTACTGCAATCTTACTTCAGCTCTCTTCAGCATCTCCCACTTATTAAGTATCTTCATGGCAAAAACTTTATCTGCATTTTTCAGTTTTACTACTGCAACCTGGAAAAAAGAAATGAAAGACAAATAAGTTACAACAAGAAAATATTTATTGTTTTCATTTTTATGTAACCTTGTAGTTTTGGAGGCTTTTTCAAGTATTCTGGATACATTTTTACTATGCACAAGATACCACACCATCAAAACAGAAACACCTCAATAGTACAGGAAAATTCCAAGTTTATTGTAAGCTTTCCTTATGTATCACACTTTCCCTAGGTATAATTTTTTTCTAGGTGACTGTCAAAGAAAACTGGCATTTCTTAGCATCACACTTCTTGCTGTATCATAATGACATGAAGCTCTCTGGCTCTATGCTTTATATTCCTGGACTTCAGTGCTACACACTTATTTAAACTTTAGAGCCCTCAACGAAAAGGTAACAGCACAGCAGCTTCTAAATCAAGATAAACAATGTGGTTTTGGTTTTAAAAACAAATAAAACTGCAGATTTGCCATAAAGCAACTTCCACTCTCGTTTCAAATCATGCACTAGATTTTCTTCAAAGATAGTATGACTTCACATTTTTCCACCTGAAGTTCAATGAGCTCTTTATGATATCTGTTGTAAGCAACAGGGAAACGTGCACATTTGTACATAAAATGCACATTTTCTAGAAAAGTAAAACTTAAAACAAGCCAGCCCAGCTGCCTCTCCTCTCCTCATAGCTTCTGAAACATTAGATGCCATAGGCCTCTGTAATAATAAATTAATGAAGTTCACTGACACCATCCTTTTCTGAGAATATTAGTTTTGTTTAGCTATAATATAAGCTAGCATAGAATATTTTTAGGAAAGAGGGAAGGAAGAAGTTTACACAAACTTGTTTTCACAGTTCAGGATTCCCTGGGTATGGAAAGCTCAGTCTCTTAACCCAAATGGGTATAAAAGTGCCACAAACTCAAAGCTGCTGATCAGAACTAGACCAGCATTATCATCCCAACTACAGAAAAGTTCAACAATCACTACATTTTAACAACCATTCTGCCTCTTCCCTTTCAAAGGAATCTTAAAACTAAAAGCAAATAAAAGTTTATTTCTGTGTGCATCTGGTTCCAAAGCAACATGCTGTCACACAGATTATCATCATCTTCATCTTGTAGGCCAGTGACAAAAAAAATACCAAGGTTGAATCCTACATTCCTTTCACCTCTCTCATAATCAGTAAACCAGCAATGTGTGAAGACAGTGATAACAGAAAAGAAAATACAGGATCAGACAGTTTGAAGGAAGTGTCATGCAAACCTCTTTGAACCATCTTCAGATGTGTCATCAGCTGCAACAGCTTCACAAATGAGGCAAAAGCACAGGCTGAAGGATTGCAATACTCTGCTGTCTAAACCAATGTGTATCTCACAGTGTGCCTCTTGCCTAGCTACAGAACCCCAGACCAAGCAGCTGTCACTTCCCATATGTACATTATCAGCCCTGCTCTTGACACTGCTGCCTTCTGGGGTTGCAGGGGGAGGCAGTGGCAGGGAGATAAAAAGAGGATATAAGACAGAAAGGTATTACATTTATTTGTTTAAACTAGTATATGGGCTGAAATTTTTAAAGGTTACCTCACATGAGGTTCAAGTTCAGATTTAGACTCCATCAAGGAATTTTCAAATTTGAAAAACAAAAATGGATTATTACTTTAGCCTACAATATAATGACTTTAATTCATAAAGAATGTTGCTGTGGTGTGCATGGTAACCCAAGACTGAGAATCACCATTTATTTTTTTTGAGGGAAAGATGAATCTTTTGCAGTGATACACAGCCCAGAGTGTGGATTTGATCTTGATTATCCTTTTACTATACTATCTAAATCTTAGAGGCTCTGCTAAGCCATTACCTGTATCAATTCCTAATGAGAAATGGCAGGAGGAGAAAGCCTCAAAACTGCACCTTATCAGTATTCAAACTGTATCCCACATGACTTGGATAACAGGGACACCCTTGGTGATGCAGCCTGTGGTATGAAGCTACAATGTAGTTGTGCCCCAAAGACTCTTAAGTGTTTTGGGACTCTTGCTGGGAAAAATTAAATGGCTGCTGCTACTAAAGCTGAGTAGCTCCTGCTGCCCAGCATGGGAAATAAGTTTTTCCCCACCATTAACCATTGGAGTAGAGGCAGCCAGAGGCATAAGACAATACAAGTATTTCAAGGCCAATTTCAGGAATTCATTTCTTGCCTGTAGCATGCTCAGTGCAAGGCTGTGTTATGCTGCAAAGGACTTGCTTATTGAAAGACACCCAGTAAGACTGCACAGCTGCCTAAATTTCCAGTCTCCCATTCAGCAATCACTTGCACACAAGTGCAGGAGCTACAGCACTGCCTTTGGTGAGGATCTGGAACACAGGCCTTCTGTGGCATGAACAAGGGCTTGGTACCTTCTGCAAATGTGTAACAGCACTGAAGACTGACTAAAGAACAAAAATAGACTCGTGTTTACCAGCTGTGTTTACAATCAGTCTGAAGCTTTTAGTCTGTGAAAGCCATTAATGTTATTCCATATCAATAACCACCACACACAAAAGATCACAGACATCCTCATCATCATCTTTCTGCAATCACAGCATGTTTTTGGGGGTGTCTCAGTGCTTTATGGAAGTGAATTCCAAAATGCTTATTCCAAAACTGTGAAAGTAAAACCTGACACTTCAGCACTGAGCAGACTGATGCAGTTTCTAATTGTAACAAAAAAAATTCTGAATCATGATTACAAATCTAGGCAGTGTTTACATATACACAGAGTATTTACTACCTACACAAAGGCACAAATACAGACAGTTTTGTTTTGATCTTTTCCCTTCCCCAGCGAAGCTGTCAAGACTGAAGAAAGAGTAATCACTCCTAGTGATCCTGAAGTGTCTTGATACTGGAACTTCTTAAAATTAGACTTTTTAAAGGTTGGTATTTTTTTTAAATTTTATTTCCCTGTGAACAGCCCAAAAAAAAAAAAAAAAAAAAAAAAAATTGGTATGTGCTGATGTAAACATCTTGGGTTTAGCCAGATATGAAGTTTTTTTTCCTCTTCTTCCAACCATTTTCCATATTTCCCACAAACAGCAGTCTAGTTTGGCATGTCTGCCCCAAGCTTGGCTATTTGTCTCTGTGATATTTGTCTGCACTTTCCCTTTGCTTAAAAAGCAATAGCCTTTTACAGAAAAAAAAAAAAACCTAGAATAGAAGCTATTAAAGTTGAAAGAGAAAGAAAAACAATAAAAGTAGAAAAGAAGATTCAGCATTGGTTTTCTTGTCCAGCAAGAACAAGCAGACAAGAAAGAATGTTACTGTTCGTAACTGTATGACAAAAATTAGGAGTAACTAGCTCATTCTCAAGGTACAAAACTCATCATCTTCAAAATATCAACAACATAACAACCTAATATTTGCTAGCATAAGCATGCACTGATTTTTTTTTTCAAAGCTATAACAGAATCAACTGAAAATTCTGGTATTAGATAGAACTTTCACTAAACTGCACTTTTATACTGCTGAGGGACACCACTAAGAGCTGTTACCCAGTTGCTTCACCTTTCCTAGCAGCATTTTTCAGCTTCCAAGTTTAAAGTCTTTTTGTTTTGAGTTCGGTTTTTCAAACCCTGCTGCTCAAAGCCAGCACAATGAATTGCTTGAAGCCCACATTATTAATTTTACCATGATAATCCTGCTCCTCCCCCAAGCAAAACATCTGTGTTTTCTAAAGACAGCACTCTTACATATAATTGTAAATAAGTAAATGCATGCATGGAGAGGGAAGGGGAATGTGAATAATTTGACAAAAAGGAAGCCTTTTCAGAAGGCAGAAAACAGGGCAAGGGGGAAAACAAAAACTAGGAACAATGAACTCTTACAGTTATAAGCAATAACTAGTTTAAACTACTTTTTGTCTGCATTAAACTTGTAAAAACAAAAAGGGAAATATTTCTTGACTATGCAAATTGAAGAAATTGAGTAGCGTAAAATCAAAATAAGAACAAGTCTGAGACTGTGCCAAAGAAAACTTGCACTAACTTTGTAGTCTACAGAATTTCAGAATTATGTTGATTCAGGAGACAAAAATTACCCCTCCCAGTAACCTAGAGCAACCTTGGTCTCATTTATAGTTTGCTGGAAAGAAAATACATTCTTTCAGATTTCTTAATCTGTCTCAGTAAATACAAGTATTGTGCAATTTAATATTAATATAGTTTTTTGTCGTTTAGGTAGCAGTAAAATTTGGTGGTCCTTTTTTCAATTTTCCTCAGATATTTACTGGTTCTTTTACAGAAAAATTAGCAATTTCATACAGAACTTCTTTTCTTCTACAAATGTCTGTGTAGAACTTGTCTTTGCTAAGCCAGCAAGACACATATCCTTCCAAATATTTATTAAGAACATAAAAACCCAAACATCTTCACTGAAAGAGCTTCATTTTTCCCCTTACTGAAGATTTTGACAATTAATAGAGTCAAGTTATCTTCCTCAGATAAGGAATTAGAAAGAAACACTGTTCCTAGAAGAGAAGACCTAAGCAATCACACAGACTGTCCCCAGAAGGGGACAGGGAAAGTTACATTCTCATTGTTCATGGGATGATTCACCACAAAGAACTTCCTGAGAAAGAAGTGGTTCTTTGTGGTTCAGCTGCTGTGGTTCAGCTGCTGTGGAGCTTGATGCTGATTTAGCAGACAAAAATGACTTCTCTTAAAAACACAATATAAGGCAGGTTTCATGCAAGATCCTCCTGACAAGAAGGCACCAACATCAGCGATTTTTCTTACATTTAACACAATCTGTAACTCTGCTGCAACTCCTATGGTAGCACTGACCAAGGCTAATCTTTTAAGCAGAAGTGTTTACATCAAAATGGAGATTGCAACATTCTCTGTGGCAGAGGTTTAGACTAAAGATAAATCATCCATGAGTAACTTCAGCCATCAGTCTCCTTTATAAAGAAGCTTTACTCCAGATGGACCAAAATCAAGACTGATAAAGCAGCTAAATAAATACTACCTTTTTTTGTTATTTTTACATCTGCCCAATGATTCTATCTGCACATAGGGATCAGAGTATGTAGTGGCACACACTACAGTAAAAATTCCTCTTCCTAACATACTACCTACAGGATTCTGCTCTCCCACAATCACAGACCAGCAAAGACTGATCTTCACTCAAGATGCAAACACGTAAGTGAACCTCAGAACAACTCTTCTCTGTCACATGCCAGAGCCTCCAGAAACCCTCTCCTGTCACAGAGAACTTCCATTTCCAAAGGCAATCAACACTTTGATCAGTAAATCTTTTTCTTATTCTTTGGGTTTAAGTTCATGTGCATTTTCAGGAAGTATGGAGTACCTCCTGCAGAGGCTTTACACACTACCCACATCTGCAGTATATTTAGCCATGAAAAACTCAAGGCACTGCTGTACATTAGATTGCTCTTCCTACAGGGTACTGCATGAAAAACAAAGCTCATGCACCCAAAAGAATGAAGAAAAATGGGGCAGAAAGCTAACATTTTAAAGTTTCCTCAACCTAGTGATCAACAGACTTGTCTGGCAAATTCAAGTAAGAGATAGCTTAATCAGAAGCAGTAAAAAATTGTATGGTTTGACAGCAGTAGGTGACAACTGAAAAGGAAAATAACATCTGCTTAAGTCCTTAAAAGAAATACAGGAAAAATATTCAAAAGTTCATTAAAATAGGAAACTCAATTACAGGAAAAGAGATATTTCTCTACGTTGTTGGAATGTCAGTGTCAATATTTGGCTATTTAAGCTGCTGAAAACTACTTTCAGACTGTATAGGTATCAGGAAAATTAGCAATTATTAGACTTCTGTACCATCAGTTACAAACTGATCTCCATCTCCTCACTGGCAAGAATTAGTCAAGCAAATGATTTATCCTCAGGCAGTTGAAACATGGTCTCTGAATCCATCTGATTGAGAGCCTGCTCTCAAAATTCACAAGACTTAAAAAGAGCTGTCAAAGAATGTATAAAACAAAATGTACATGCATCAAACATTAGGTGGGCCTATAATATCCATTATGGATAAATAATGTAAAATCCTGAATACCAGTGTATTGTTATGAACTGTCTCTTCTCCTCAGTGCTGCAGGTCTGCAAGAGAATTATCCAAACCCTTCCACCTCCTTCTCACACATACCTCCCCAAAGGCTCCTCGACCAATCACTTTCAGAATCTCAAAATCTTCTTTATGTAGTCGCATCTGTTTCACTTTAGATGTAAAAGGTTTGGCTGAAACAAAGGGGAAAAAAAAGAGAATCATTAAAAAAACCCAAAAAACAACCCACGCAAAAATCAAAGAACAAGGTAACAGTAACACAAAATAGATACAATCAGAGGCCTAAAACCAAGGGATCATTTTGCTTATACACCTGTTTATCCTAAAGGAATGTAATGAAGTTTAAAGCTAGAAATAATGAAGTAAGAACTAAGTCAAAACTGCTGTGAGAAAAAGGTTTACAAAGTAAGCTTGCTTTTTGCCTTCTTTTAATTAAAAAAAATGGAGTCAAGCTGACTGTATTTTTCCACAGACTTTTGAGTTCACAGACATCCACTGAATCTGTGCTATATAATTCTGGTTGCAAAAGCAAAGTCTAATATAATGAGTTCACTTTGGACAATATTAATTTTTTTGCCAATCAGCTACACAATACTGTATTCAATGAGAAATTAAAATGGTAGTAAATGCTAAGTGGAAGGGCAATATTGGCCTACACAATGTATTATGCAATGTTTTTTGAAAAATACTTCTTTGAGGGAACACCTAATAGTCAATTCTTGGTTTTGGAAGGAAGAACAGTTACCTCAAGACATTATTAACACATTCAGTGAAAAAACTGGGTGCATTTTCAAGTTAAGCTTCATTTCCTTCTCCTTTTCCCCTTCTTTTAAAATATATTTGAAAGCAGTAAGCAAAATAATGTACTGTATTCCAGACAGGTAAAACCCCTGCACTGTTTGCAGTAAAACAGTCTCAGGAGTACTATTCCTCTCTTTTATCCCCATTTAGCACTACAATTAACCAGCCCTGGTTCATCAATACATCTCTGCATGCATGCAAAACAAGTTACTGATAACTCTACATCAAAACATACATAGCACAACCCTTGTTAAAAAAAAAACTTAAAAATTGAAGCTTTAAGTAATTTAGCAGGAAAAGGATTTCTTTACAAAGTTATTGTTCTAAAGGCATGTTCAATGCTTTACACAAATGAAATCCTATTACTAAACCAGATACTTCAGTAAACATGGTTCATACAAGAAGGTTGTACAATCAGAATTGGGATGGGTCTCCAAAACACAAATTCAATTTTTGGCTCAAAGGCAGTCTAGCTCAATGATCCCAAAGAAGCAACTTGAGATACTTCACCCAGTTTCACATCTATGAAAAGGGAACATTATTTTTGGAACGGACAAGGCACTGACAATCACACTGCTGAATCACAAAACCCCAAAAAGGCACATTGTAAAGTCACCATTTTACAAGGCCCATAAAACCTTATTAGCTTATGCTTTCAGGGTACAGAGGCCCATCTCTGTCCATTTCTCTCTCTACAGGGGATGATGGAATCAGTGCAGTTTTATTTGCAGGGAAGAGTTGTGACAGCCATCGTACTGCAGAACAATTTGTTCAGAATAACATTTCTAAACAGAAATGGGGAACTGTTTTCAAAAACTCCAAAAGCAAATGACCCTAAGTAAGAAGCAAGTTAAATAGACCTAGACATGTGTAAGAAACCAAATATGGGTTCTCCTAGAATTTAGAAAGAGAAAATTCTGATGTTATGAAATAATCCTGCTAAAACCCCATAACTCAATTTAGAACTTTAATATCGATCATGCAGCCCTTCAAGGCACTACAGCATCCTTGTCCAGAACCATACTACCATTCAGCCAAAGCAACCCTATAAACTGAGTCAAGACACAAGCTACCTGTAGTTTTGATACCTAAAACCCCCTACAAAACGTGTTCATCCTAGTGAAAGTAGCTTTGTAAACCACATCTGTAGAATAATGACACAAAAATGCAGCACATGTTTACAGCACAGCTCTACTAACATTCATGGTACAATAGACGAAACGCTTTTAAAATCTCAGTGGTTCCAAAGCCTGAACCTGGTCTCTTTTTTCTGAAATTTCTCAGATACCAGGAATCAATTCTCTCCCAGAAATTACATCTGTTCCAACTAGAGGAACATCAGCTTATGATTACAAAAACTCAGCATTAGGTCCAAATAGTAAAGATGCAGCCATATAACACTGAGATTTTCACTGCAGCGCTACTTTTGCTTTACATTTATAATAACTTTATTCAAAATATTGAATTACAAAATTAAAATACAGGTTTAATATTACATTTTAAATATTGCTAAAATGCAATTTAAACAGAAGTATATCACTCAAGTTCACAGAGATTCCCCAAACTTTTAAGAATCTTTTATTCCTTAAAAGAAAGGTCTTGCAGTAGAGAAAGTGATAAGAAAATGTACTGCCTTACTTGGACAGCCTGAGCTGTGCTACATTGAGTGACTAAATAACAAATATTAATACTACTGAACAAATTAAAACAAGCCATTAGAGCCTTTTAACTTGAAAAACAACTGATTGAAAACAAACATGTAGTTCTCAACTGCAACATTTTTTGACCATTATAGGCCTGGCTAGAGTACAAGGCAAAATTTCTTGCTAACAAGCAACAGCATAGCTGTTTAAACCACAATGCTCTTCCTCACTTTATATTGCAAGGAAAGGCCTGTCATTCTTTAATTATTACGTTCTGAAATCTTCCAGGGTTCCCATAGGGATTCTGGAAAAATAAACATCACTATAACTACTTCAGTCAAATAACAACGACAAAAATAGGTTTGGAGTAGGTTAAATGATTTGTGGTATCAGCATTAGTGGAAAAGTTTGTAAAACCTCCCTCCCCTGTAACTTTTTTATCACCTCTAGCAGAGATGTCAATTAGAGCCAAGCAGCTCTTGGAAGAAAAGTTAGAGCCCCAGGAAAAAAAAAAAAAAAAAAAAAAAAAAAAAAAAAAAAAAAAAGGGGAAAGGGAAAAAAAAAAAAATTGCCCTAGGAATGTGCTCCAAATAGCTTGTTCCAAAAAAGGCCAATTTGCTTTATCATCAACGTTGTTTGTCTACTGTGCAAACATCTGCTGCTCTTGTGGCAACAGCAATGTTAAGTATAGAAAACTTGGCCTGGCCTGGGGTCTTGGAAGGCTCTCTGCAGACAGCGTTTCATCCACACAGATTTCCAGACTAGGAGGTTAACAGGCAGACCTTTGGCAAGCAGTTTGCAGTGTCCTACAGGCCTTATAGAGAGAGCAAATGGTCAGGTCAGGGAATGCTTTTCAAAACAGGGGTCCCTGAAAAGCAGATTTGCAGGAACACAGCCCTCATTTACACCCCCATCTCCCTAAAGAGAATCAGCACAAAGTTAACACAAAACAACACCCTCTTTTTTTCACAGGAGCTGTGGTTTCTTTCATGGTTGATATGAGAGTGACACACTTTGCAGATTTTTCAGAGGCAGTATGGGCATTTCCTTTGGTGCTTCATTCAGCCTACAGAAATACACAGGGGCATAGATGATATTTTCCACACACACATCCCTTTTCAAAGTTGCTAGCAATGTGTGATACAGATTAGGGAGCAGGAGTTTGCTGTGCCAAAGAGAACTCTTCCTCCTCCAAAGGAAGGCTAAGTGTGGGGAGCCTGGCCACTGCCTCCTCCTGCTGGTTTTCAACTCACAAGAGCTGGAAGTTCATTACATAAAACTTTCCAGCATGTTCTCTATGGCCACACATTGACAAGTCATACACAATGTTCATGGAGGAGGCTGCTGTGAAAAATACTCTATGTTATCAATCTCTGTGAAGGAGATGGAGAGATAAGAATTGACCTATAAAATCTGTTCTGTAAAAACACTTGGCCACTCCACCTGGCCAGTACTTCCCATCTCACCCTGCCTGGGAAAACTGTGCCACCACCCTCTTGGCAAGATTCCTTGCACTTATTCAATCAATTACACATGGCAAGGAAAAACAATCTCCCAATTCACCCTCAGGGCAACCAACGTACTGATGCAGGAACCTAAGCTGCATTTTCAAACAAGGTGAACCTGCCATGACTATTCTTTCAATTTATTTATGTTTCTATGGGTCTATCCCCACATTTCATGCTCTAGCCATTCATTTCATTTATGCCTACAATCCATGGAAAAAAGTAAAATTCACTAAAAGGAGAATACTACAAGTGTTAGAATTTTAATTTTTTTCTGGTTGAAATTTAACCAGAACTCCATCAGAAGTAACGTGTTAAACACATAGACAAACACTCAGGAGGAGTCTAGTTGCCAAGCCAGGCATGCAGAGGAACATATGTTCTACCCCCTGGCCCTGGAAAGGCAGGATTTTATTATAATTACAACAAGCATCCAGCAGAAGAGAGGCAAAACAATGAGCTCTACAGTAGTGACACTGAGCTTCAACAGTCTGTTTATCATATTTACAGTGGGGAAGCAGTTATTAGCATTACTTACAGTCTATTTAATAATAAGGGGGTTAAGCTTTAAACTCTTGGAGATAAAACTCCCCATCTTCCAAAGAGCTGACACAGGGATGGCAGTGACTTGATAGCCCAATGCAACTCAGTATTAGGATTATACCAAATGACACCAAAACAGTAAAACAGCTGTTTTGGATGCTTTATTAGCAAAGTTAGTCTCATGCTCCTGCCTTGCTCACTCTCCCTCCAGCTCCAAGTTTCTGTCTGCAGAGCCTGGGCAGGGCTAGCCCTGCAATTCAGATTTTCCCAGGCTAACCTGCTGGGGGTTCCTGCTTCTCCCTCACCTGCCAGTGCCCCTTTCCCTCCCCAGCACAGCCCTGAAGGGAACCCAGGGGTGCTGCAGGCATGGGTTCAAATTGAACCCAAGTGACATGAAGATCATGTTGACTGTTAAAGAAAGTACAGCAGAGCTGGAGCAGCAATTGGGAATGTGCCTCTACAATCCATTTAAATAGAAAACATAACAAGACAGGGCTCAGGAATTCCTCTCAGTGCTTCACTGATGCTGCATCTACTTTTGGATCAACAAGCTGGCTAACTCTGCTTAGACTGAAGACTGTACCCTTGACTGACAGGTTGCAGTAAGATACCCTTATCTTACTTCTCAAATTACAAAACATGCTTCCTTAGCAAGCAGGCATCCCACAGCAAACCCAGCCT